ATATTAGTATGCTCGATCCAACATAATTCGACCCACTCCGTACGAGAGGTTCGATCCTAGAGAGGCATGGGTTGACATGAATATATTCGTATCTATTTATGTGAGTATGAGAACTAACTGCTTTCAGTTCTATAATTCTGTTGGAAGCATAGCATATGTGTCCACGTTTACTGATAAATTCTCCAGTACAGATGCATAAGCAGCTTCAAAGACTATTTCGAGACTTTCTTTTTCCATAGGGTTGCATGGTAGTGAAAGCGACCATAAATTCAATGTGAAAAATCCTGGAGTCGCTATACCTGGCTCTTAGAAATGTCATTCATATTGTACTGAATGCAGGATGACTGTTACTCGCAGACTTTCTGCCCATTTCGTAACGCAACTTTTTCAACCCATGCAAATGCCTTTGATCAGCTCCGGCTAATCGCAATTACATCATATTTCGTGAGTGAGTTATACATATCCGTTTACCATTCATACCAAGCCATACATTTATACCTTTTATTCCATTTTACTTAGGCAACCAACTATATTTTCATATGTGTCTTTACTATCCTTGCTTACAAAGTCGTCCCCTCATATTATTTTACTTACAAACATTTGCAGCGAGCGGCTTTCAGGCCGTCTTACTTTGTGACAACTCTTCAGAATATAATGCTGGCTCAGTCTTCGGTATGTCACGTCGTGTGAGTTTTCATGCAGAGTTTTATGCGTGTGGACGCACGAGACATATACTTTCGCAGGCTATTAGAGCGTATGAGTTATTCGATCGTGTATTGTGCGTGCATCCGAATATTCAGGTGGCCAACAAGATCAATATTCGTTCTACATACTCAACGGAAATGCACTTCATTGCGGTGACTATACATTTTGCAAGTATTAGTTTTGAATAAGACATGCATATACCTACGCACACAAACATACCTTCATATTAGCACATAGATTATGTGCACAAACACACACACTTATACATTTTTGTCAACAACCTCAGAAATTTCCGTCTCTGCGGTTGCCATGGTTGCTGCCGGTGTTGTGTGATCAGTTAATTAAACGCGACGGCCTAGCAACCGAAGGTATCTTCCGTGTACCAGGAGACAGCGAGCATGTGGGCAGGCTCAAGTGCATGATCGACGAACACCACTACGATGAGAAAGTGAACGATCCAAACATTCCAGCATCGCTACTGAAAATGTGGTTCAGAGAGCTACTGGAACCGTTGGTGCCTGATGAACTATATGATGTGTGCCTGGACTTTTGCGACGACGAGGCACGATGCATAGACATAGTGGATGAATTGCCGGACGAGAACAGACACGTACTCAAGTATATAATCAACTTTTTACAGGTAGGAGGGTGTGTTCGGATGAGGCACGGTGGTATACACAAATCGACGAAAACGCGATGTATATATTTTAACAATTGTTGTGCATATATATGTATATATATGTATAAATAAATTATATATATAGATATATATATATA